CTTTACACAAACCCACCCCTGCTCCCTATACAGGACTTATATCATCTTCTAGGTTCTGCCTTTCCCCTCTCAGAGTGATTTGGCCAATCATGAAAGAGCGTGGATCTAGTATCTTTTGAGAATCACCTTCATTTACAAGAAAAGGAAAGTGAAGTAGCTTCAACAGCTGTTCTCACTCTATCAACATTCATTTCTTGGCAGAAAAGCCTGGACAGTCCTAAAATAACATTGTGGAACAGTGCTTGGAAAAAGACTGTGTAAACAGAGAAGCAGCTTATTAGCTGGGCTGGACAGAAACCCTTGAAATATAGTATTTTTTGTATTGAGATTTCTTCTTGATGGGTTTTTCCTGTGACTATTATGAAATGACCTTCCTTGTCTCTTTTGATTGATTTTAGCTTGAAGTCTATTTTGTTAGATATTAGAGTTAATGTTTTCTTTAACTGATGAGTCTATTTCCTCTTTTATATCTTCAGCGCTTGAGTGTCTCTCTTCCATCTCTTGTTTTCTGCTTTTCATGCTTGCGTTTGTGCTTCCTGATTGTTTTCTCATAATTTCTCTTTCTATAATTCCCTAGGCTTGTGTTTTCTTTATTGTCGCTATTTCAATTTTTAAGTGTTGAATAGTTACCCCCCTTCTTGGGCAGCTACATGTTGTCTACCTCCTTTGGCAGCTACATGACATCTTTTTGACTTTGCCTATTCTCTCTATATATCTATGTTCAGATTTCCCACCTGACTATGCTCTGCTAAGCTTTTGTCCAAAACAGCTTAATTCATCAACCAATAAAAGCAACACATATAGAGAGGAACATCACACATCATATTCTGTAGGTCTTTTAAGTGTTTGAATATTACCTATCATTGTGGGATACCTCTCTGTGCATCTAGCAAACCTAACATGACTGTAAATTTGACAAACATTGGTGACTCTACCTCATTTCCCTATTATATATTCCCTTTTTTTCTATTCCAAATTAGATTAACAAGTCTAATCTTTATTGCTCTGCCCCAACCCTTTAACAATTTATAACCAACCCATTACAGATGATAATTATCTGTATAACCCTGAGAAAAAACAAAAACTATACACCTTTCCTGATGGTAGAGGGAGTGTTGTATTCTTAGAATTACTTCCAACTGTCTGGGGAGGGTGACAATATTGCTATGGGATTCTGTAAAAGACAAAAACAATCGTTACTCAGGAGAATTAGCTGTAACATTTATAGCTAGTCTCTGAGTAATGGGTGAAACTAATCTGACATTCTGGCTAGAGTGTATAAGAAGATGGAACATCTCAGCTAGCCACCTTGGAATTGTCCTGAGCAGTTTGTAGTCCAAAACCAATCTTTGGGTGGTGTTTATTGGCTAAATGGCATTATTATGAACCAAGTAGAATCGTTGGTGTGGAGCCCCATCATCCTTTTGGAGACTTCAGAGATCACTGTAAGGAAATTTTTTTTGTTCACTGTGGAAAATTTAAACAGTATTAATAACAAAATGGAAAGTTTAAAGTTTAGGATTGTATTATATTTAAAGAAAGGTTTTAAAGAGTCAAAAATAAGTATGAGGGGAAAGAGATTTGTGGCAACAGTTGTCTTTAGGTTTTGAGTTTCTTCTGTCCCAAATCAGGTGGTTCTTCTGATATGAGATAGAGACTCTAGAATTTTCTTTGAACAGCATGCTTGGGCTTAGGGAAGAAGAGAGCCACACTCCAACCCCAAGGCCACGTTTGCTTTTTAATTGAATCAAGACTACACATTTTTGAGAAGTAAAGAGATTTTAATTTTTAGGTACTGAGAATTTACCCTGTAGAGAATATTTGTACAATTAGGCCAGATATTTCTTTTCTTGGCAATTTTTTTCCAGAGAGTTTCCCTTCTTCTTTGGATGTATAGATGTTCAAGGTCTTTTGACTTCTTGAAGATGGGTATTTCCATCTTCAAGGTATATTCCTGTAAAGACAATAACAGAACTCTCTCCTGATCCTTATTTGGTGCATTTTCCTTTGACATGTAGAATTGTCATATCCATTAATGAAGTATCACTTCTCCTTCTTAAGAGGTTTCTCCTGTTAGAATTAAATCTTTATTAATTTTGATGGTACCCGTAACTTTTCCTCTCCTGTGGAAACAATAGTGGAACCCCTTCCCCAACTAACACATATCCTAGTTTCAATTCTGAGATCAACACATCTCTTAAGTATACAGGTTGATTCAGTTTAGTAGTTTTTTCTATTTCCATTGTCTCTCCTCAGTTTTTGTTCCTTTCTTATTAATATTTATGACTTATAAAGCTGTTCAGTGTTAGCATGTGCTAGTATATTGTGGAAATACATTGGGGATATGTAGAGCTTAATGGGAAAGCACCTGTGGTTTCTGATGTAGATACTTTAAGCCAAGGAGGGAATCATAATTAATTATGATATATTGTTCAGGTCTGTCACATCTTACACACAGTGAGATGCTACAGTAGAAAGTTTAGGCCCATTCCACAGTAGATACAGACACTTACAGAGATTGACCTCTATATCAATCTTCAATGGAGAATTCTGACTTGGACAGGGGACTAACTGCTTTCTCAACTTTATGTGCCTGTGCTGGAGAGACGGCTCATATCATATCAGGCCACCACAAATGAGCTGTTGTAAGGAGCTGCAGGCCTGCTTTTCGTCCCGCCAAGCTCCGGCATGGTTAGCTTACACCCGAAATAACAACACACAAATTGTATTCATTTAAACACTGCTTGGCCCATTAGTTCTAGCCTCTTAATGGCTAATTCTCACAATCTTGCCCAACCCATATTTAGTAATCTGTGTAGCACCAGTTTTACTGGGAAAGATTCAGCATGTCTGACCTGGCAGCTTGCTTCATCGTGTCTGCTCTTGAGAGCAGAGGCATGGCATCTCTGACCTCACTTCCCTTCTTCCCAGCATTCTATTCTGTCTACTCCACCCACCTAAGGGCTGGCCTATCAAATGGGTCAAGGCAGTTTCTTTATTAACCAATGACCTTCTTCCATCATTTTCTGTTGGAAGAGCTGCGGGTCGCATTCCTGCCACCCAGCTCCCGGCCGCCTGGCTAGCTTATGCCCCAAAATAATGACACACAAACTGTATTCATATAAACACTGCTTGGCCCATTTCTATTAATGTGTGTAGCACCACGAGGTGCGCTTACCAGGAAGATTCTAGCCTATGTCCATCCTGGGTCAGAGCTTCATCGCGTCTGCCCTGGAGAGCAGCAGCCTGGCATCTCTCTGAGGCATCTTACCTCACTTCCTCTTCCTCCCAGCATTCTGTTCTGTTTACTCCACCCACCTATGTTCTAACCTATCAGAGCCAAGCAGTTTCTTTATTAATTAACCAGTGACCTTCCTCCATCAAATATTAACAATTGAAACAACAGGAAACATACAAACTCATGAAATTTAACTCTCTGAATGAAAAATGGATGAAGACAAAAGTTAAGAAAGAATTAAAGACTTTTTGGAATTGAATAAATGAATTCACAACATACCCAAACTTATGCAACAATGATTGTGTTTCTAAGAGATAACTTCACAGCACTACGTGTCTTCATGAAACAACAAAAATTAACAGCAAACAAGCCAGCAAAGTGAAACAACGTGTAGAGATCTCTTGCTAATAACTTAAAAAATCCAAAAATTCTATCTGGAAGCTTCTACAACTAATAAACACATTCAGTGAAGTGTCTGGATAAAAAACAATTAAAAAAATCAGTAGCCTTCCTACCCAAATGGAAAATGGACTGAGAAAGAAATCAGGAAAATAAAACCTTTCATAATAGCCAAAAATATTATAAAATATTTTGTGGTAATTTTAACCAAACAAGTAAAAACTTGAATGATGAAAAGCATTAGGACACTGACTAAAGAATCTGAAGAAGTTATCAGAAGATGAAAATACTCCCATGCTCATGATTGTGTAGTACGATTACAATACAAACAGGCCACCCTACAAAAGCAATCAATGGATTTTTATGTAAACTTCATGAAAATTCCAACATAATTCTTCTGTGTCTCTTCCAGACATTTAACTCAGTTACTGATTATCACATTTTATTTTGAGGAAAACAAAGTGTTAGGCCAGGGAACAGGATCTGAGATTATCATCAAACAAAAGTAACACTGCCAAAAACCAACATGAGTATATCATGGGTATACCAGGAATGTCAAATGCCAACAGCAGACCCTCTTTGTAATCAGCAATTTATTAAGTATTATTTTATGACATCATATACAAATCAAAGTAGTTCTTCACCATCATTGTCAAGATAAGAAATGACAGACAGAGGGAACTCAGGGTTCTCGCTGGTTCTGGCATAGAATAATAGATATTCTTTACTGTCTCTAGAAGGATTCTGATGAGGAGTTTTAGGAATTGATAGGTTATTAAGAAACTTGTGGTCATTGGCTATAGTTTCTTTTGACTTTGGCCTTAAGGTCTTTCTGTTGATAGAATCTATAAGCCATGGCTAGTCACTCTTTTAACTCAGACTTAATGAGGGTAGAAGTAACTTTTAGGTGAATGTGCATGAGTGTATGCATGTGTGTGTGTGTGTGTGTGTGTGTGTGTGTGTGTGTGTGTGCGTGTGTGTGTTGTGAGACACAATGAGATCAACAGAGCAAGGTGCATGAAAAGTAAGAAATGTTTGTGCACAGGTTTCAGAGAGGTTAATGTTGCAACAGAAAATCATTGTAAGGAAGTACAGAAGTGACACAGAGCTCATCCTCCCTCCCCCCTTTCCCCCCCTCTTTTTCTGTGTATGTGTGTGTGTTCAAGTTTGTGTGTGTAGTTGAAAAACTTGAAAGAAGGTGTAGGTGAACATAGAGACTTGAAGACAGATTGGGTGTTGCCAGGTTCTGACATATTAACGCACATGACCCTTATCCTTATGTTTTGCCATGTGGTAGTGGATTGGCTAGAAAAGATGTCGGAGGGGGTAATTTATTCTAATGCCTCCCTGGTATATTAATATGTCATTTGATATTGTCATGATCAGTAGCTGTAGGTGAGTTGAATTTGAGATATTCTTTTGAATATGCCTCTCTAAGGAGAACTTTGGCATCTTCAGTCACTGCGTCAAGGAAAAGAAATTGAAAGTAAAAGATTTTCCTAAAGTAAAGACCTGTAGCAAGGAGCCCACCACTACCTGAGAGAAAACTTTCCAAACAATTGAAAAGATATTCTCCTAATGTTTCATTTTCCTTATTTGTCAACAAAGAATGAGATTTAAGTTTTTCTTTTAGTTTTTCGACAGGCACTTGGCAATCCTTAGCAATTAATTCCAGGGATTTGTTATCCACTCCAAAAAGGGTTTGGTAGTGGTTTAAATTCACCTCTAGCTTCTCTAGCTCACTGTTGTTGATGCTCTTCAGTACAGGAAAAGCAGCCAAAACACCTTCCTTGAGGGCTTCCAACCAGAGAAGCTGCTTTGAAGTCTTGTACTTCATTTGAATGGCTGCCTCTGTAATATTGGGCAAAGAAAGCATAAAATTGTGGCGCTTTTGAGCAGGAAGATCCTTTATGAGGATGTCCACCAGGCTTGGAAAATCATAGTCAGATAAATTGTGGTTAGAGATTAAGAAAATCTGTGGTTCATCAATTTTATTCTCACGAAAGGTACCCAGATAGGAGTTTCGGATTCGCTGCAGGATTTTTTCTCGGTCAAAAGTACGTGGTTTGCATTTCTTTTCATTATCTATATCAAAGTCCACCTTGGTTCTCACAAAGTAGTAATTCTTTTTCATTAATGTGATTACTTTGGCAAGATCTATTTCATGTTTTGTAAAACGTGTGGCAGAAGCAATAATGAAGAAGTCATACTTTTGGAATTCTACTTTCTTCAGATAATCTTTGGGTGGAAATTTCAGAGTTCCAACACCAGGAAGATCCCATATATTCAAATTTTTAATTTTTGGGTGTTTGTATGAAGTTATCTTCATAGTTGTCTCTACCACCCCAACTTCAGCTGCATCTGCCTCATCATGTGCCACCTCCCTCAGGGCATTGATGAAGCTGGACTTCCCTGCTCCAGACTCTCCGGTCACAGCAATGTTTATGGGGACATTATCAATGTTTTTTAATACATCTCTGATTATAGAGTTTGCCCCCTGAATGTTTCCATTTTTCAGATGTAGCTCAATTGAACGGATAGTTTCTGGAGAAATGATTTTGCTTTCTGCCTTGATCTTCTTAAAATAGTCGGTGAAGCTGGAAACCAAATCTCCATTGTCTTCCTTCTTAGATGCATCAGAGTTTACCTGACCCATGACTTGGTTGGAAAAGGGCCCTGAAAGGAGGAAGGGAGAGTAAGTTACAATAATCTGAAGACACCTTCATGCTTGGCACTGTGTTCTCTATGCTGTAGCCTTAGTTATATTCTGATAGTGACTAATTCCATATTATGTTGAGGTGCCCATTTTTTGACAAGATACAAACTGGAGTCCTTGTGTTGGAGAAAACCTCATTTGAAGAATTTCCCTCATCAGATTGGACTGGGGACAGCAGGTCTATTGGACATTTTCTTGATTGACACTGATATTTAAGGTCCCAGTCTCAACGGGTGGTACCATCCCTGGGCAGGTATTCTTGAGTTGTAAGATAAAGCAAATGATCCAGATGTGGGGTCAAGCCAGTAAACAGCGTTCTCCCATTGTTCCTGCCTCTGCTCCTGCTTGAGTTTCTGCTCAGATGTCCCTCAGTGATAGGCTGTGATCAGAGTATATAAGTCAAAAACAAATAAACAAAAACACAACCTCTTTTCTCTCCAAATGCTTTTCATTATTGTGTTCATCACAGCATTAAAATGCAAACCAGGGGCTGGAGAGATGGCTCAGTGGTTAAGAGCATTGCCTGCTCTTCCAAAGGTCCTGAGTTCAATTCCCAGCAACCACATGGTGGCTTACAACCATCTGTAATGAGGTCTGGTGCCATCTTCTGGCCTGCAGGCATATACACAGACAGAATATTGTATACATAATAAATAAATAAATATTTAAAAAAACCCGCAAACCAGAACAGACATCTACTAGCTCTTAACTGAACCCTTAATTATGAAAAAATAAAATTTAAGTAAAGTAGGGGAAAATAATATAAAAGTCTACATAATTCCTTTAGCCAGTATTAATGATTATCAAAACACAAACAACTGTGTTTCATCTACCCTGACTGGAGTATTCTGTATGAAACACAAGATGTCTTCTCCAACTGTGCACACTTTCTTCAGTGTGTGCTTTCACATGACTGACAACTTAATCAACCTATGGCTGGTTTCTCAAACTGAAAAACAACTAAAAATGAAGAATAATTGACACCAGTGTTTAATCTCTAACAATCACATAAATCTTTGTTTTATTTTTATGGCCAAAAGATGTCAAAAATCCAGCTATTGTATTTGGTTGAAATAATTTTTAATTTGCCTAGATTTACTTTTCTTCTGTCTTTTTCATGATTTGGGGATCATTTTGCAATAATATAAACCTTTTTAACCATTAAAGTCCACGTTAACATCAATTTTCTCAATACAATATTTCAGAGTCCTCAGGTCATCATTTAGAATCACTGTTTTCTTTTAAACCCTTTCATGTTATGAAAGCAATCTGACTGTAGAATGGAGATTTCCACTTGCCCTCAATTAAACTCTTAGTTATGGAAACATTAAAACTTAAGTACAGGAAAATAATATAAAATATTTATGTGTCTTTTAGTCATTGTTAAAAAACTGTCAGAACACTAACAATTGTGTTTCTTCTAACATGACTTGAGTATTCTATATAAAATCCAGGATTTTTCTCCATCTGTGCACACTTCCCTCAGTGCATGCCTCAAATTTTTGGAACTACAAACATCTAGTTTCTCAAATTAAAAACTAAGTAGTAATGAATGTTAATTGACACCAGTGTTTAATTTATGATAAATGTCTTTAAAGATCTCATAAATATTTCTCTGTTTTATTTTTGTTTTTAAAAAATGTCAGTAAGTCAAGCTATTGTACTTGGTTGAAATAATTCTTAATTTGCCTAGATTTACATTCCTTCTGTCTTTTTCATTTCTTGGAACTCACTTCATGAGGAATATAAACTTGAAATAATATAGAATTTCTTTATCCTTAAAGTCCATGATAAAATCCATTCCTTCCATACACTGTTTCAGTGTCCTCAAGTTATCATTTAGAGTCACTGTTCTCTTCTAAACCTTTTATTTTATGGAAAGCCCCAGAGATGTAGGCCAGTTGATGGAGAGCTTTCCCAGCCAGATAAGGCCTTGGTTTCAATCCCAGCACCTCATCAAATGTAGGCGCATGTGTATCCCTGTAATTTATTTACTCAGGGAGTTGAGGTAAGAGGGTCAGCACTTCCAGGTCATCCTAGGTACATAGTGAGTTAGACGCTACGCTGTGCTACTTGAGTCCATGTATTGAAAGAATAAATATCAAATCCAGAAAGATGGCTCAGCTACCAGGCCTAAGGACTTGTGTTACAAGGGAAGGAGCCACTTGTTTGTCCCAGCCACCTGGCTAGCTTAGCCCTAAAATAACCACACAGAAATTGTATTAATTAAATCACTGCTTGGCTCCTTAGCTCTAGCCTCTTATTAGCTGACTCTCACGTCTTGATTTAATCCATTTTTATTAATCTATGTATCGCCACATGACAGTGGCTTACCAGCAAAGATTCAGTGTGTCTGACTCTGGTGGTGACTCCTTAGTGTCTCTTCCCTACTGTGCCTCTCTTCCTCCCAGCATTCAGTTCTTTCTTCCTTGCCTACCTAAATTCTACCCTACCAACTAGGCCAAGGCAGTTTCTTTATTCATTAACCAATGAAAGCAAACACAAACAGAAGGACCTCCTACACCAGACCTGAACTGGATTACTGGGCATTTAAATTAATCATATCAACTCAGTTCAACAGCAGAGTTTTTCTATTGGCACTGAAATCATGTCATGTTGAGTAAATTCTAAAAGGGACTATAAGCATCCCCATTTCCCTCAGGGAAAGTTCATTAAGGTATACAGCATACATGCTACATACAACATACCTTTGAAATTTGTTGTTACCCTTCTGGGGCCACTACTGTCTGAATCCCAGCCACCCTGTTATCTGTGGCTGTCTTCTACTCTCGGGACTTTGTACTTAGTGACTGCTACCTCGCCATGTTGCTCTTCCCCAGTTATTAACTGGAGAATAACATGGCTATTAACTGTATTACCTTTCTCTAGGTTCTGCTTCAATTAGGCAGAATTGTGATTTATATTCACATTGGGATGTAAACATATACCTGCCGCCATCATCGGCCATCCTCTCATTATGCTTCTGCCTCTCCACAGCACTTGCTACATGTCATGTCTAGGTTTATTTGCTGTTACTCTCTCACAATACAATAAACCTCGGGCAGCAGAATGTGCTTTTATTCCCCTCCTCACTTCTTCATCACCAACACACAGGTGTATGGTTAATCATCAGGAAATGAATGAGGAATATGAGGAAAACATTTGATGTTTCTTGTGGACATTTGTGTCTGCTTGGTAGTTCTAAGTGGCCAGTGGGATATTCAAGTATTTAGTACATTAATAAACAGTGAGATCTAGGAGTCTGGGGAGACCACAAAAATGCTCTAATATAAAACAGAGATCTCTGTAGACTCATACTGTGCCCTTGGCCCTGCATAAGCACGTACAAACTTGCACAGGCAATCCCTGTCTAATTTTAAGGACAAATTGGGGCTGCTGAGCAAGAAACCAGAGCTGTAGAACTTTGTTCAAACTGATTGCAAATGCAAGCCAGGAAAGGGTGGTAAAGAGAATGTCCTCAAAGGGAAACCAGAGAAGCTAAACATAGTTAATTAAACACAAAGAACAAGATTGCTATGACACCGCAAACATTACAAAAGGAAACCCGCCTAAATGTCACCTCACCCTGACACAGCTACAGCAGAAACAGCATGCAGAGAGACCTCTTCTCTACAGGCCAGAGGCCTTGGGATGTAAGCAATTAAATAGTTGACCCTTAATTAGGAAGCAAAATGAGACGGAGATACAACAACCTCAGGCACATTGCAGAGATAGTCCATCACTTGAAACATCTAACTCTAGCCATGTTAGAGAGAAGAATAAGGAACATCCAAACCTATTTCAAGATCATTTCCTTTAGGTCCACCTCCACTTGAAGTATAGAACCTGTCTGTATGTTTCAGTCTCTAAGACTGTTCACTGTTCCTGTCTATCTCCCACCAAAGCATCCCAGCTGTCAATCAGAGGATCCGCACTCTCAGAATATGTTCCTAAATGTCATGTTCCCTATTAGTTCTTTAGAGAATAGAGATGATGAGGGTTAGAAGTTAGATCTGAATGCTTCTATCCCCTTACCAGAAAATCCTGAGTCAAGTGCATGTGCTCACTCTAGTTCAGCTGCAGGAACCACCATCCAGTGTGCTCCAGGTTCTTCATATAAAACCCACCCTACCTTCCTATGCAGCACTTATATCAGCTTCTAGGTCTTGCCCTCCCTCTCAGAGTGATTTGGGGGAAACATAAAAGAGCATGGATCCAGTTGCTTTTCAGAATCACTTGCATTTACAGGAAGAGGAAAGTGAAGTAGCTTCAGCAGCTGTCCTCACTCCATCAACATTCACTTCTTGGCAGAAAAACCTGACAGTTCTAAAATAACAACGAGGAACAGTGCTTGGAATGAGACAGTGAAAACAGAGAAGCAGCTTACTAGTTAGGCTGGACAGCGACCCTTGAAATATAGGATTCGTTATCCCCGACTCCACAAATGCAACCTGAGCTAAAGTCCCACACACATTGTTTGAGGTCCTGTGCAGATGCCAATTTTAGTCCCATCCAAGCCACAACCCACTTGTCAGAGTGGTATCAGAGGGCTGACTACAACCTTATTTTTTCACAAGTTTGGATTCACATTCCATAATTCTTGTCATAATCAACTCCCCTCTCAATCGAGGGATTAAGTCTGGCTTGGGCTTGGCAGGTCTTACACATACTGTCACAATCATGGCCATTTTGTTTATGGAGCTTCCCCGTAGTGCCCAAAGGACATTGTTTCCTTGAAGTCATCCACCAATTGTGGCTCTTACAGTCTTTTCACCCTTTCTTCGACAACCATTCCTGTACCACTGGAAGTAGAAATAAGTATATTCCATTTATGTCTGGCATTTACCAGTATCTTATTCTATGCATGCTGGGCCAACTGTGGGTATCTGTATTGTTTATCATCTACTGCAAATGAGAGCTTCCATGATAAGGGTTAAGCA